GGCTGCAGAATCACTAGAGAACGGAGTCAAGGGCCGACTCCTAGTGGTGCCTCAGTGACCACAAGTCCCTTTCCTTCCCAGCCCCCTTCCGTCTGCACTGCCTGGGGTGATTGGGCCAGAACCGGTGTCCACAGCCCTATAACCTCCCAACAAGAAAAACAGCCGAAGTTGAGGCTGGTGACCTGATAGCTGAGGTTCCTGCCAGTTCACTGCAGGGTTTTGCAGAGCCAGTCCCTACGTGGGGGTGGGGAGAGAGCAGGAGCATCCCAGCTCTCCCCAGTAAGGGGCCAAGGCCTGCTGTCATAGGGAGAAAGCCCAGTCACCAGAAGAGGGCCTCAGGAGGATTCTTCAAGACTGTCCCAGGAGGGAACTGGAAGGAACAGGTTTCATGTGCAGGGGTAGCAGGAGGACCAGAGCAGCGAGACCAGGGATGCATCTGTACAGTCAACCTGTGATCATCTTAGATGTTCTCAGTCACATAGATGTAAATTTTAAGTAACTATAAAGCAGAAGATAAGTGACCTTCAAGAGGTAGCCACCCAGAGGGGAGAGGGGGTGGGGGGTGGCATTAGTTCAAATGTCCCTGTGCAGGTGTCACTCAAGCTTTTTGCAGCTTTGGGACACAGCAGTGAACAAATGCTCTCAAGGAGTGGAGATTCTATGGGGATGAGGGCACAGGGACCCTCCGTGGTGTGACAGGCACGTGGGAGCTGAGGCCAGCAGGCGGCTGAGGACAGGACACACCTGTGCTCTGGCAGGTTTTACCTAACGACCCGTAATCACCTGCTTTGTGAGATGCCCTCACAGGGCCTCCATCTCCTGGTCTCTGAACCACCAGCAGGTGGAGCGACAGGCACTGGTGCCACAGGGCTGGGGGCGAAGGCGGGGACCCCTTCCTTTAGTGTGAACAGGCTGAGCCAAGGACCTGGGCAGTATACGTGGGGCACGAGGAACCAGGGGCTGGGGCCGGCTATGCAGCCACCTGCCAGCAGTCTGCTTCCAGGGGAGGGGGCAGAGTCTCACTCTGTGCTCTTTGGCCAAGACCTCGAAGGGTGAAGCCAGGGCTTTAGCAACGTGAGGGAGGAGCTGACTTGAGATAGGATCTGCTTTGGGGCTGGGGGTGGGGGCTCCCTACACTGGAGAGATGCACA